GATCTTTATCGCTCGTCTTCCCAGCTACTGATTTTTCGGGTAGAGAGCGTAAAACATATGCTCGGCGTGCGTAACGCACATTTCAACATTGTTGAAATTGCAACTCGCGGGGGAAAACACGATTTATCAATGTAATTTCACGGACTCTTTACTCGTATAATACGCGGACACGACCACTTAATTTTTCTTAGCCCGTTTTTCCTGACTTTTCCTCTTGATTAGCTCTCGCTTCTAGTCGGTCGAAATACGTCGATTGAACGAAAGAACGATGCGACACGATGTAATTGTGGATCGAGCTCGAATCCAGGTGAAAAACGGGCCAGAAAGCAACGGTCCAGGATTATATTGCGCTCGTAAAGAAAGTAAATATCGCGACACCGTGTGCCGTAACAAGAAACAATTACGCGTCAGGAAGAAGGCGTGTGTGACGAAATGTGCCAAGTTCGTGTGCTCGCGAGACCCTGCAACTTTGTGCAGGTGGCTCCGTTCACCTGATTTAACTCGAAGAAAATTCAAAGCTCAATTCTCCAACGCGGTAGAAATGAAATCATCTGATATTTGCAACCAGAGAGTGTTATTGAAGGGATAAAAATAAAATTAACGAACAAAATATTCGACGTCTACTTGCTTGGAATTAAAGGAATACTTTCGATACTATTAAATTGTTAACGGGAGGCTCGTTTCCAGTTGCGTGGTGATAAATAGGAAAAATCGGATGTATTTTCCTCCGTTTAGTGAACGCATCGGGAGAATTATGCTAGAAAGCCAGAACTAGAATTTCTGCGCGTACGGAAACACTTGGTCGTTTATGATATTACTGTCGAGATGAAGCGATTGCCGAGCTCGCGTTGCGTTCGTGTCGTCGAGATCACCAGCGGCCAGAACTAAGGAAAGAGAACACGCAGAAAAACAACGATATCCGCTTTTCATTCTTGAATCGAGCTCGTTCATTTCTTGGTAGGAACTGCTTTCCCGATCGACAAGGAGCTCCATGCATCTACGAATTATTTTTATCGAACAGCAGATCGTTTGCAATATTCAAATACCTAAACAAACACTCGTTAGTATCTTCAAATTTTCATATTTCAATCGCACATTCAAACGAAGAGCATTGACGATATTTTTAGAAAATGTTTTGCACGTAAGAAATTTGCATACCTGCTAGAGTTTCCAAACTTTTCTACTTTGATCTTATATTCAGTTTATAATAGTTTAAAGATAAATGTTCAACGTAAAAAATTATCAATTATAGTGAAATATAAAAGCATAGAAAAATTACATGACAGAAAGAAATTAAACATTCAGATATTTTTAATATTCGCACTGTTAACCGTTGTTACGACGTTGAAACAATTAAAGTCCTCTCGACTGCCAAAGTCCGCAAATATTCAAACTTTTGACCCTGAATTCGTCGAACGTCCGAACTTTCAAATATTCAAAACCGCCGAGATCAACGGTCAATCACACAATAAATCACGCAGTGAAACTAAATCCCGGTGATAGAATTTAAATTCGATTCCAAAGCGAGAGCGACTGAACGCCTGGAAGCAAGGTCTCTAAAAACCACGTCGCTGATGTATCGTTCGCGTTGCGACTTGCATCGTGAATTTGAAAACCGCGTCGTCGAGTAGCTCTAATTTTTCTTCTCGGATGGAAAACTCGAGCTGTCGGGCTTGTGGTGAAGTGACGAGGCCTAAACCAAGATCGGCAGGCCTGATCGGCGTTGAAAAAACAACGGAAAGTATGCCGCCGTGGACTCGTATATGGTAACCGATCATTCGACGTCGGCTGAATCTCACGGTCCCCGGCAAGTGTTTTGGTACGGCCTCCGGACCGTTACGTCGAATTCCAATCGGACGATTCGTCAGAGTCACGGCAAGGGGGGACAGGGTTTCCTCTATCCAGACGGCGTGGGTGACCGGTTTCCATTGAAGTCCATCGATTCAACCTTGCAATCTCGTACTCCACCGTTAGGTATGGAGTATTTAAATCAGGATATTTAAATATTTATGCAAATTCGTAATTCCATGGAGATAGATAAACCCAACGTAGTTGTGTTTTAGATATTTTACGTACGTGCATTCCTGCGTCCATGCATCGAAGAAGTGGAATCTAAGTTTGTGGAAGCGTGTTTTATCTAGTAACTGTTCATTAGCTTATATCTTATATTTTTCTGTGGTATGTGTATATATATCTATTGTATATTTTTACAGTCAAATACATAACGATACTTTAAACCTAGAAGAAAATTATAAATGAAAAAAAAAAAAAAAAAGAAATCAAGAATCAAAATAATCGATTGCTTAGTTCCGCACGAGCTGATTGAATTTCCCGAATAAACTGCATAAATGTTCGCAGTCTACTTGTTCGAATTCAGTGAACTCTATTGATTCGTAATTAATGGAATTGGAAAACGAGATAGAACACGGTGAAATGCACAGTTATACGCCAGAATGCCATTAAACTTGCAAAGGCCTATTAATATTTAGCATCGATTAATATCTCTGCCAACTCTGATCGTAGAAATCTGACAGAGGATGTCTGTCTTTCGAAAATGTGTCTATTATGCTGAAAGTCATAATTTCTTTTTAATTGTACAATATAATATATTTGTAAAATAATTATCTACAACAATCGCAATAAATAGAGATGCAGGGATAATTCTTTTTTTTTTTTTTTTTTTTAATTGTACAATATAATATATCACGCGACTGACAAGTCAGAATAACCGAAAGAACGTGCATCAATTATAATGTGCCAGGTAAAAGCAGACGTGCTTCTGTGTCAAAGTCTCATTCATCTAACGCAATGACATGTACATACACGCCGTATTGTACGCGGATCTCAGTTGATCAGTGAAGAACCGTTTTGCAGAATAGACTAACCAACTAACACAGAAGGGGAATTAAAAAATCGCGAACGGTCACGCGCGCGATCACTCGTCGATTTGCATTGCTCGAGCGCCTTTGATATCTACGTGTTTCGTTTAACTTTCTCCCGGGTAACCTTGTTTCCTCATTTTTTCCCCCTCACGCGTTACCATTCGTATCGGCGATTTAGCGCGACTTGGTTCCACGGCTCGGTCGACCGTGCCGTACAGGAAATTTCGTTTCCCTCCGCGCGTGTATCAAGGTCACCGTAGCCATAACCCAACCGAAAGCACATCGACGACCTTGATTTCCAATCGTTAATATCGATCGAGCAGGATTGCACACACATTGCGACGTCACCGCGTATTAGCGAGATCGTTCATTTAAAAGTGAAACTACGAAACGTTGCCACGCGTTTAGACGAAGCCCGTGATTGCGGACGAAAGGATTGATAACGGTGGTGGTACGGCTTGTTTCTCCCCCTCGGACGCTGCCGTAACCACAGAAACGGAGATCGGGCTTCGCGGAAGAGAAACCGGCGATTGTTACCACCCGTGCGATTTTTATGATACACGATCGAGATCGTGAAATACTAGCCTTATCTTGCAAAAAAAGTTGTTCGGTCAGACACAAAAATTTAAACGTATTTAATAACACTGACGTCTTTTCGTATCTTTTATTATCTTTAGTATCTTTAGTATCTTTTATTATTTTTTCGTATAAAATATTATTCCACTTGTTTGAAATATACGAGCAATTTCAGTTGAATTCTCTTACACGAGAAAACTTTGATCGAAAACTTTTTGTCAAAAATTTACAGTATTTATACTTCAATGTAAAAAGAAATTAAAGATATTATTGTTAAGGTGAATAATAATTCACAATAATATCCTGCTATAATAATTATGCTACAACTTTATTTTCATTTTAAGAAACAACAAGGAGATTTTAGATTGCTTTGAATGTTTAGTTCATACAAATAAATCTGAAATGCTTGAAAGAATTAATTGTTTATCGAGGTTCAAAGAGAACAACATACAATTGCGATTCATTAAATAAGTATGTCAAAAGTTATACGTTTAAAGTAATGTAATCAAAAATTACATTCTCCTCATTCGGTATTCCACGGTTAAACTTTTGGTAACTTTAGTGAGCGTTCAAACGGTTAAGAAGATGTATAAAATAAAACTCAACTTCAAAAGAAATTATATATAACAATTAGAATCTTTTTATATTTCATTTAATATCTTTTATGTTTCTTTCGAAATGTTTTTTTTTTTTTTTTTAATGTTAGTCGAAAATATTCGAAAGCACAGCTAACAGATACTACCTACACATATTTCGATATTTTAACATTACAAGTAGTATTTTTGAAATTGCAAAGGCGATTTTTAAAATCAAACGAGATTAATTGACAACGATGAGTTTTAAAGCTTTTCATATCTTCGTATGAAGAAAAACCACGTTCGGTCGAACCTACATTCAATTCCAACTAAATTCTCTATATTCTCTCCAGTCGGAGCATCCAGAAGAATCTGAGGAATCGGGCGTCGCACGTGTAACGGAAATGCACGATTTCATTGTGAGACGTCGGACGGTACAAACTGGTTTGCAAAATCGGTCGTTTTTGCCAGGCAATACGCCACAACTTTCCGTGTTTTCCGTGTATCGCCTGGGGACAGTGTGGCGGGCCGCTTCCGGTCTTCTGATCGAATGAGGCCACTTGGTCAACAGGTTCGTTCCATCGGATTCTCTGGATCGCGAGTGAGAATCGCATCGAACCGGTTGCCACCGTGCACGCTCGTCCCTCCTTTTCAATTTTACGAACAACGGAACGAGAAAGAAAATCAGAAAAGCATGATCGCTCGCGACAAGATTTTCACGTGATTCGAGCCGCTCGTCAGGCGGCTATAAAGGCGCGGAGAAAAGAGGGGAAAAGGAACGCGCTTGAAACAAGCATCAAGCACATGGAAATGTTTGTCGTTTGATCATGGCTATCATTGCTGAAAGTCGACTGCTTTTCCACCGTTAGTATGTTGGAAATGTCAACGAGAGAAATTTTAAAGGTATGATAATGCAAGCGAAAATTCATGTTACGATGGAACGATTGACACAGCTTACAATGACGCAGTAGTTTCTGTACAAAATACAACGAAGACTGATTTTTGCATTTTGCGAAATTTTTCAATTCAAACTTTCAACGATGAACCTGAAACTCTAATTGGTCATCGAAAGGTTGGACAATCTATTAGGCAGAATTACACTTGAAGAATAATTTCTATATTTCGCTGATTAAATCAAGGTTCAGGCTGATTTAATAAACTTTTCCATTGTAAAAGCAAAGAAATCATGTACGAAGGATGATTTTTATATTTCATTCATTAATTCAGCTATATTTTGCCAATTTTTTAATTTGATAAATATGGATGTTTAGTCGGTCATCTAAGATTAGACAAGTTATTGTAAAAACAGAGAAATCATGTACGAAGAACGATTATTTATATTTCATTGATTAAGCGAGGTATATTTTACCAGCTTTTAAATCAAGTTTTCAACTTGAGCTTCTAATAAATTTGAACTTCTAGTCGGTCGATTAGGCAGGTCATTGAAAAGACAGGCAACTCATGCTTGAAGAATGATTTTTACGTTTCACTGACTAATCGGGCTATACTTTACAAATTTTTTAAAGTAAAACTTTGACGAAATGAATTGGGAAATACTATTGGTTACCTAATATTAAAAAATTAAAAATATATAAAATTAAATAATAAACATATATATATATATATATATATATTATATAAAATAAACATATATAAAATTAAATAAAAAAAATATATAAAATTAAACAAGTTATGTTAAAACTAGAGAAATCGTCCTGCGATCCTGTGATTTTCATATTTAAATAATTAATTGAGGTACACGCTGCAAAACTTTTAAAGTAATGCCCCGAATTTGGACTTTTATCTGGTCATGTAAGGTCAAAGACAGGTTATTAATTATTCATGAGCGGGGATAGAGCCTCGGGTATTTCGAAAGAACAGAGAAGTAATAACAAACAAACTGAAAACTCGCGTGTTTCTCTTCGTTTTCTGTTTGTTTCATCAGTGACGCATTAATTCGCGTCGATGTCTATAAGAACAGATATGGTCCTTTTGTAATATTAATACACTGTGGTTATTGACCTTATTCTTCAGTGGCTCGCAGCTGGGAAAATTGACAACGAGCCGAAGAAACGCAGAAAAACGGTCAACGAGGTAATCCGATAATTGAGGAACGGTACACGAGATCGCTTTCCAGTGATTTTCTACTCACAATCAGAGAAATGTTTATATGTCCGATGAAACGATGGCCTTTATCTTCAATTGAATTATCAAATGTTTATCAATCTCGCGATGAACAAAAATACGAATTAATTAATTAATGCGGGAAGGAAGAATAAAGAAATCAAATCAGGTTGACGATTTCCTTTGTACCGATACGTTCATTACTTCCGTCTCACTCTATGTATCAACCAAGAAAATTGCAATTGACAATGTTCCACCTGTAATCAGGGTTTCATTTTCCATATCCGGTGACCTGATTTCGTAGTAATTTCTGTTTCATTGGGGGGGAATTGTTGGTTGTATTCTGAAATAACTGGGAATGATAAAGAAACAAAATCGTCAAAGTAGAGGAAATTACATTTCCTCTTTCTACGACAATTATTATGGATTACGTAGACACTTCCAGCAGAATTAATTTTATTTCTATCATATTGTTTTGGTTACAGTTTTGATTATTATTATTATTATTACATTTAGATATTGCATTAGAAATTGGCTGTGTGCCAATGTTAAATCTTGAAAAAGTGGATTTTCCAAGTGAATTTTCTTATTCTGTATATACAGTATATTGAACGAAAATTATTAAGATTGAAGAAAATGATATAATTTATTAATAACAACTAATAATTATAAAACTAGATTTAATTTCTAAACGATGTACGCGATGAATTATCGCAAATGTATAACGAAGAATAGTACTCTTTGTGCTAGTTCTACAACTATCTACATTCACGTCTAGATAATATGTACAGAACTTAGTAGCTCAATTAAAATTTTCGCCTATTGCGAAGAACATCGCTGACATCAACTAATACTTGAACAGTAAACTGTTTAAAAATGGCAATGTATCTGAGCACTGTAATCGCTAATCTAAGAAGAGAGCTTTCCGGCCATGAAACATATAAATTCTTAGAAATTTAAAATTTTTCAGAGATTTCTCATCTTAAACACTTTAACTCAATGATGCAAAAATGACAATACGTATACAATCATAATTCTATATAATTCTACAGACCCAAATATTATAAATCTATTAGGTCGTCCGATAGATTAAAGAGAGCAAACACAGGCAAGTAGAAGTAGTGAAAAACCGCTTTTAAAACCCTTAGAAATTCGAAACTTCTCAAAGATCTCTCGTCTTAAAAACTAACGCAATTGTATGAAAAACGACAATGCTTACAATCAATCCAAATATTCTAATTCTATCAGATTCTTAGACATTTAAGAGAGCAGATTCAGTGTACTTTTATGAGTGGTAATCTCTGTATCCTCGATAAGCAAGATCCTGTCCGAAAGACACGCTATCCCTGTTATATCCACCTGCATATTCAGCCTGTTCAGAGTAAGGATAACTATTGGAATTTTCCTTGTAATAAGGATATGCTATACCGCTTTGGCTATAAACTGGTGGATAGTAATTCTGCGTGAGTGGCTTGTACAGCTTGAAAAATCCGATTAAACCAGGTATCACTATCGCTAAGAAACCGAGGAATTTCTTGAAGGACGCCAGACCTAAGATTAGAGGCAGGAACAGCAGTAGCTTCAATTTGAAGAGCTTCAACACGATGAGCATAGGAATAAGAAGTTTCTTCAATTGGTGACGGGCTACGAAAAGAGTAATACGATTAATAATGATGCTGACGATAAAACGTAACATAGATAAGATGGAAATAACATACGAAATAGAAATAACAATAATTAAAAATAATAATATAGAAATGTTTCACGTAGAATGCTTTACAGTAGCATATATAGAAATATATAGAAAAGAGATAAAAATAATACAAAAAAAGATAGGAAAGAAACAAAACTTTTCTGAGAGATGGACTCACAGAAAAGAGTATCCTTTTTATTCTCAAGAGTGTCAATTTCGTCGGCGATTTCATCCAAAAATCGTGGCGCATAAACCTCATTCTCTCCACTTTCTTCAGGAGGAATATGTAACTCGATGGCCACGGTCTTCACGAATTTTTCCGCTTTCCTCAGAGCGAATTTCATCAACTGGTCCCATTCAGAGTCGCCAGACCTGAAAAATTACGCAGGACTGAGTAAAGAGAAATTTCGTATTGTTCTCGGAGGAAGTTATGCGAACGAATTCTTGGAACGAATTGTACCTTGCTTCGCTAGAATATTCATACGGTTGACGATTGACTTCCTGCACTACGTCCCTGGACATTCTAACGACCTTTACGTAATCGTTCAGATCGTAGTGAGAGTGATCGAAGAAATCGGAGAAGTAGCTTAAAGCTTGAGACTTGAAACATTCCGCCAGGTCGCCATTCAGACAGCCTTTGTTCGTTTTTGCTATGTATGGATCCACGTTTCGTCCTGTGCCTAAACCGATCCAATCGAACAGCCCTTTTCCTTGACGTGTTTTGTTGAAAGCCACCTGCTCTTGTGGCTCTGGCACATGGTTTTCTAGAATTATAAATTAGTAAATTAATATTTGTCAATTATTAACATTTTTCTTCGATTTCTTTTAACATTTAACGTTTTCAACATTATCGACACTTTTTATTAATATTTTAATATAATTGATGATATATTGATTATTTTAACTTAATTCAAACAGTTATCCATAATTTCGATTCGAATAATCATTCATTCAGTTTAACACAGATTTAATTTATAATTTTAATTCGAATATGTATCAATTTGTTAGATAAGTGGCACACAATTGGGAAAAATACGTTTTGGAATTTTAAATTGAAAGTGGGAAGTTTCAACTAGAATATTATTAATTATTCGACTATTTGATAACAAAAATTGCATTGTTTGCACAATTTAACTAGCAATCTTCGGATTTGAATTTGGCTTACGCATGTTGCCTGCATTCTAGTAAATAGTTGTACACCTATCCCGAAATTGACGATTTTTAATTTACAATTTAAAATGTGCCAGCCATTTAACAAACCGACGATACGTGTTTCTCGAAACTATACTGTGAAATATCTTACCGCGCGCCTCAGACCGCTCACCGGAAGTGCCATCTTCGAAGGTAACCGACAGACAAGGTACCAACAGCGTGGACAATAGCACCAGACCGTGTGTTACCAACAATTGCACCAGTCGCATGCTTCTCACCTGAACTCCGTACCTGCAGTCACGTTTCTTTATCGACACGCGTTTCACACAGGGCATTCGTCAAACGATACGAAACGTCACACACGCGAGAAACCAAAACGAACGAACGAATCGTCGACAGGCCATTCGCGTTCTATTAAAACAGCTTTTACCTTCTTTTTTTTTTTTTTTTTAATTCACCATCAGAAAGGAAAATAAGAGAGCAACAATAAACAACCTCGGAGGAAAAATAAACGTCTGATTCTTACCAAGCTCCATCAACCGACTGGATTCAGGAACGACATAGTTTCACAATTTAATGGAAAAAAAAGAAAAAAGAAGAACGCTAGTCGTGATTCACGAACCGCACTCGAGCGTCTGCCGGAGACCAAGATCGATCGTAACCGCGCGGTAGATATCGAAGTGCCGTTAACTCGGCGGACCAATCCGGAGTCCTGATTCAAAGGAACCGGGTCCGTAACCTTGTATTCCGGTCGCGTGTCCATAACATTCGTAACACCGATCACGCACATTTTTTGAATTTTCCATTTTGGAATTTCACACCGAACGCCATTATAATTCGTTAATTCGTAAATTAGTTCGACAGTATTGTTAGGTTCTGGTAAAAATTTTTGTTGCGACCTAACGAATTTTGAATGACTCAATTTTGAAAGATTCGTGGATTAACGTTGCAACTGCTAATCTGGGTATTACTTCTTCTTCCATTGGTAGTTACTATCTTAGTATTAGATAGTATTGCCATCTTCTTCCATTGGTAGTTACTTTCGTAAAACTACTACTAATTACTAGACTACCGTTTGTGTTAAAGTTAATATTTTTATGAATGCCATACTAATTACTTCATACACGGTGTTTCCAATATTTTACACATTTTTACACGTTGCATGTATAGACTAGAGATATTTGTGCAGTTTTATGCTTTTCATAAAGGTAATTGAAACAGCGAAGCCTTTAATAGCTAGAAAATTATTTTGGCCTGCTTAAAATTATTTTACCTATTGAATTTTATTACCTACGTCGCATGCATTTTTGCATCTCCAAATTTTTGACAAATTCAGTCAAGTACATTCTACGAGTAGTCTGATAATCGCAAAATTCTCACCTCTTCAAACCAAATTACC